CTCTTGTTTCTTTGTTGATTTTCTGCTTAGATGATCTTTCCATTGCTGAGAGTGGAGTATTGAGGTCTCCTACAATTAACGTATTGTTATCAATATGACTCTATTTTGGTTAACAGTTTGCTTATATAGATGGCTGCTCCCATGTTGGGGGCATAGATATTTACAATTGTTAGATTTTCTTGTTGGATAGACCCTTTAAGAATGATATAGTGTCCTTCTGTGTCTCTAACTACAGACTTTAGTTTAAATCTAATTTGTCTGATACAAGAGTTGCTACCCCAACTTTCTTTTGAGGTCTGCTGGCATGGAAGATGGATCTCCATCCCTTCACTTTCAGTCTGGATGTATCTTTAGGTTCCAAATGAGTCTCTTGTAGGCAGCATATGGATGGGTCCTGTCTTTTTATCCAATCTGCAACCCTGTGCCGTTTTATGGGAGCGTTTAGGCCATTCACGTTGAGAATGATTATTGAAAGATATGAATTAATTGTCATCATGTTGCCTGTGAAGATGTTGTTTTTATAGATTGTCCCTGTAAATTTCTGTTGTATATCACTCTTGGGGTCTTTCTCCTTTTATAGAACCCCCCTTAATATTTCTTGCAGGGCCGGCTTAGTGGTCACATATTCTTTCAGTTTCTGCCAGTCTTGGAAGCTCTGCATCTCTCCATCCATTCTATTTTTTTTTTAATTTTTTATTTTTTTTAAGTTTTTATTTATTTATTTGAGAGAGAGAATGAAAGAGAGCACATGAGAGGGGGGAGGGTCAGAGGGAGAAGCAGACTCCCTGCCGAGCAGGGAGCCCGATGTGGGACTCGATCCCGGGACTCCAGGATCATGACCTGAGCCGAAGGCAGTCGCTTAACCAACTGAGCCACCCAGGCGCCCTCCATCCATTCTAAATGTAGCCTTGCCGGATAAAGTATTCTTGCCTGCATGTTCTTCTCATTTAGTACCCTGAATATGTCTTGCCAGGCCTTTCTGGCTTGCCAGGTCCGTGTGGATAGGTTTGACGTTATTCTGATGTTCCTCCCTCTGTACGTAAGGAATCCCTTCCCCCTAACTGCTCTTAAGATGGTTTCCTTGGTTCTAAGATTTGCAAGTTTTACTATTACATGCTGGGGTGTTGACCTGTTTTCCTTGATCTTGGGAGGGCTCCTCTCTGCCTCTAGGAGACGAATGTTTGTTTCATTCCCCAGATTAGGGAAGTTCTCAGCTATGATTTGCTCAAATACATCTTCTAGTCCTCTCTCTCTCTTTCCACTCCCTCCGGGATTCCAATTATTCTGACACTGGAACACTTTATAGTGTTGCTTATTTCTCTGATTCTGTTTTCATGGATTCTGAGTTGTTTTTGCCTGGCCTCCTCTTTTCCCTTTTTATCTATTATATTGTCTTCCAGGTTGCTTATTCGTTCTTCTGCCTCACTTATCCTAGCTGTTAGATTATCTAGATTGGATTGGATCTCATTGATAGCGTTTTTAAGTTCTGCCAATTCAGCTTTCATTTCTGCCCTTAGAGACTCTATGTTGCCATTAATTGATTTCTCCATTCTAGCTATCGTCTTCACAATTGCTAGCCTGAATTCCATCTCCGACATGTTGGTTATATCTGCATCCATTTGTAAATCTGCGGCATAAGTCATAATCTCTGAGTCTTTCCTATTTTGGGGGCTCCTCCTCCTAGCCAGTCTGTTGAGGGGTGGTTGAAGGAATGTATAGAGTCCAAATTATTGACCACAACCCAAGCAAGATGCTCCTGTTTTCTAGGGACCTTAGGGTTGCTGACCTCTTGTTCTCCCAGCCTGTCTTCTGGGGGTGGGGCCTCTTGTGCTGTTACTCAGGTAACCTTGTTTGGGCAGAGTTGCCCTTGCCCCCCTGGCACGGGGGATTGGCTCAGTGGGAATCAGTTTTTTGGGGCTTTTGTTCCCTGGGGGCTTTCCCTGGAGGCTTTCCGCGTCTCTTCCGCGAGTCAGAGCAGAAGAGACCGTTTCCAACCCTCTGCCTCAGAGCAGAGAGACCGCAGTCTGTTCTTCAGTGAGCTCTCCAGGCCACACTGTCTCCATTTCTGTCCGTGCTGCTATAAACTGCATCGTCCTGGGTAGTGCGCCCCTCCACAGCGCTCCCAGTCCTGCCTCCAGGTTGGGGCATGTCTCTGCCCTTTGTGCTTCTAAAATGGCCAGCCGCTCCCAGTTTGCACGTGTGACCCCGCCACTCCAGGTTTCAGCCCCGGGGGCTGCCCTGAAGTCCTTTTCCTGCCGCTACTGGTCTGTGAGTCTGTGCCCCGTCCCCAGTGCCCGAGGCTGTCGCTCACCGGTGGTGTAGGATCCCCACGGCCAGGCTCCTTCCCGCTGCTGTTTATCCATCTGCCCAGGGAATCATGGCTCCCTGCTTTGTACCTCGAAACCAACCACCTGCAATATTCTGTTTGTAGAGATCCGGATCTTCTTACATCTCAGGCTGATTTCATGGGTGCTCAGAGTGGTCTGGTAGATATCCAGCTCAATTCCAGGGACCAGTTGAAATACGGTCCCCTACTCCTCCGCCATCTTTGTTCCTACCTGGAGGCTGGCCTCTTTAAGAGGAATAGAATACTGTGGTGTATTTTAAAACGGGTGCTTTTCCCTTCTCCTTGCCGGAAGCGGAAGTACGGGTTTTTCTCTGATACTCATGTCAGTACAAGGTTGAGCTCCTAGAGGCAAAACTCACAAAAGTTATCCACAGCAAGCTTCTGGCAGCTCGTTAGTTCCAGTCCTAGTTCCCCTGCTCTGGTCCTGGTTCACAGAGGGGTTTCCTGTGAGTCTGTGCTCGAAGAAGTTGTGATTCTCTGCATTCTCTCCAGCTTGGGGGGCAGTGGTTTGCCCTGTGGCCTCATGTCTCTTATGGATTAAGAAGAGTTATTTTTTCGGTTTGTCCAACATTTCATTTGTTGTTAGGATGGACTTCCAAGCTTCTTATATGCTGGACTGGAAATTGGAAGTCCACTTTATGTGTTTTTAATTTCCTTTTTCCTCCTAGCAAGGAGGCCGTTTTTATTGCCATTTTGCATTTGAAGAAACCAGGGCATTGATAGGTGAAGTTACTTGCCCAAAGTTCCCCAGCTAGTAAGTGGTGAAACCAGGATTTGAACATAAGAACTCGAAGCCTGAGTCCATACTCCTAGTCACTGTTTTATAGGAGCAGGAACTCTGGAGTACACAGGTCTGGTTTGGACACCCACCTCTACTCTCTGGGTGTGGTGTGAACCTTGGACAGCTTCTCAAATGCCGCATAGGGTGTGGTACGTAGAGCGCAGCATGCTGCATGCGTAAGTTCTTACAGGGTCGCTGTTGTTGCTATCATTATTTATTGGTGTGAGCGTGTGAGTAGACTGCATTTTGGGGTGACTTACTCCTTGACCATGACTTGGGGAGCACTCGGTGCAATACTGAGCTCCTCGTAGATGCTCAGTAAATGGTGGGAATTTGTGCGCCTGTATATCCAGGTGAGCAGGGGCTGTTAACATCCTCCGGAACACACACTGCCCGAAACCCTTCCTTGCAGTCATGGGCCTGTGTTGCTTGTGGGCTTGTGCAATTTGTTAACATAGGTCACACTCTGCAGCTTGTTGTGGGTGTGCGGGTGTTTCCATGCTTGGTGAGCTTGCACTAATGCTGTCTCATTTGGTTGTCGTCCCTGTCGGGGACACTAACAGTGGGCAGGAGCAAACTCGCACACAGTGCTCTGTGCTTTCTGCCCACCCCTCCCATCTGAAGCTCCCATAGCGCAGGTGGAGGCCTGCTGCAGCCCTTCCCCTGCGTCTGCTCACCCCCTGAATTAGCCCCCAGGGCCCCCGACCCACCGAATGGCATAAACAATGATGTTTATTGTCTCACAGCTCCGGAGGCCGGGATTCCAAGATGAAGGTGTCTGCATGGTTCCTTCCTCCTGAGGGCTGTGAGGGAGAGTCTGTTCTTCACCTCTCTCCTAGCTCCTGGTGTTTTGCCAGCAATCTCTGTTGTTCCTTGGCTTGCAGACTTGTCACCTGGATTTCTGCCTCCTTCTTTGCATGGCATCCCCTGTGTGCATGTCCATGTCCCAGTTTCCCTTTTTTTTTTTTTTTCCCCCAGGACACCAGTCATACTGGATTTGCCTCCCCACCCCTCCCCGCCCACCATGGCTTCATCTTAACTATTGCATCTGCAATGACCCTGTTTCTAAATAAGGTCTCATTCTAAAGTACTGGGGGTTAGGACTTCAATATGAATTTTGCAGGGGACACAGTTTAACCCACAACACCCACCCTTGGGGGGAAAGTTGGCATGTGAAATAGTCCTACAGTGAGCTGAAGGAAAAGGTGAGCAAAAGCTATAGCTTGCTCATTCACAAGAGCCTCCCCAGTGGTGAGAATGTAGCATGGCAGCTAGCTGGATCAGTGAAGCGAGGAGCAGTGTGGAATGAACCCCTTACCTGTGGCCTCAGTGGGACGCGGGCCTTGGGAGTTGTGGGAGCAGCCTGGGGTGGGCATTTCGGGTTCAGATGCTGGCTCTTCCTCTCAGACTTGGGCTCATCACCCCTGGCCTTGTTTCTTAATCTGTAATGTGAACATCATAACGCCTGTCAATTGAAAGTGGTTGTGAATCTCAGTAAAATAACTTCTGTGAACCCCCCACACACCACGCAGAGAGCACTGGAGGACATGATACGCGGTGGGTCATGGAGCAGCGCTGGTCTGCGTGGTAGACCTCAAGGCCGAGCCCTGCCCTCCGCTGGCCTGGCCACCTCCAGCGGACCGTCAGCTGTAAGCCCCGTCCCTCCCTTCCGAAATGGAGCTGGTACCAGTCCCCAGCACTCCTGAGCTCTCCGGGCTGTAGGGCCAGGTGCAGGCGCATGTCACGTGTTTGCAGAGGTGCACTGTGGAGGTGGTGGCGGTGGCCGCGGCGGTGGTGGCGGTGGTGGTGGTTTCTCCGTGGAGCCCTGGTTTAAATGAGACAGCCCGTTGATTATGCTCTCTTTCTGTTAAGGACAAAAGGAGTTATTCTTGTCCAGTGTGTGAAAAGTCTTTTTCAGAAGACCGATTGATAAAGTCGCATATCAAGACCAACCATCCTGGTAAGGTTATGCATTTTGGAGAGGAGATTAATTTTAAAGTGCTTATGTTTACTTTAAAACACAGCAGTATGTATCAACTGCACAAAATGGGATTAAAGGGGGATAAAGGATGAGTGAATTCGAGGGACACGATTACATTTATTTAATGTTGGGGAGTTAATTCTTTCATTTTATCCTTTCATCTGGTCTTCTGTCTCCCCACACTCCCATCTCCCTCCTCCCTTTTAACGTTCACTTGGAATGCCTTTGGCTGGGTCACTCACAAGCAGGTCTGACCTTAGACACCACTCCCAGGGGGCCCGTGAAAAGTTGGTTGCCCAGCCTGGTGGTCTGTGAGTGGTGTGTGCTCCCAGGCTGAGGAGCCTTGCTGAGTTGGAGTGACCGTCCCCTCGGGTCTCCCCACACTGGTCTCTTTGCCCACTCAGATGTGTGAAGCATGAGCCACCTGGGCATTCATGCCTGTCACACCTCCGTTTCCCCGACCTGGGACACATTTCCTGTACTCTGCTAATTCCCGTTTATTCTCTGTGTTCTTCCGTGGAGTCCCATCCTTGGGGAGGATTTGGGGGCTCCCTGCCTGGGGAAGGGCCCCGCCCGTACCCCACCCATACCCTGCTCTCCCTGCACTGGCCCCTTGTGTTCAGGTCATTGGCACTTTCCTGTCCCCCTCTACCGCCCGCCCAGAGCCTTGGGGAAGGACTGCCATTGTTAAGGTCTAGCCTCAGGTCCGCAGCGTCACATTGGGCAGGCCTGAGAGCACTGTGTGTGGCATAAATGAGGAATGTGTAAGCGGTGCACCTTTCCCAGCGTCCATGTCCCTTTTGCGTCTGCTTTATTTTGTATCTGCTCCTGTGCTAGGGTACTGACTCGCTGATTATAAATGATACTGGAGAAGAGTAAAGAGATAATGGAGCTCACCAACACTCATGTTTTATCTGGGAACAGATGGAGCCTTAAGACCATCTGTGTGGGAGCATGCGGGTTATGGGATCCTCTGACGGCCTCCTTCTGCCGTGTCAGCCTGTGTACGGTGTGAGCCGAGGGTGCTCGTTTAAACCGGCCACCCTTTCTCATGAACATATGTGAGGTGTGGTTTGTCTTTGGTCTAAACTTCAAATATACACTAAACACAGGATAATATGAGGAACCCCCACGGGTCCGCAACAGCTCAGCTGCCACACTCCTGTGCATTTTGTCAGACTGTGCATTGTTTCATGTATTGACTCTCCAGACTCTTTGTTCTAGAATATCTTTTTTTTTTTTTTAAAGATTTATTTATTTATTTGAGAGAGCGAGAATGAGAGAGAGCACATGAGAGGGGGAAGGGTCAGAGGGAGAAGCAGACTCCCTGCCGAGCAGGGAGCCCGATGCGGGACTCGATCCCAGGACTCCAGGATCATGACCTGAGCCGAAGGCAGTCGCTTAACCAACTGAGCCACCCAGGTGCTCTGTTCTAGAATATCTTAAAGTAGGTCCCGCACATATGTAATTTTCCCGTAAAAGAACTTTGGGACGCTGATTGTGGTGTTTTTGGAGCATAACCACTAGGTCACCCTTAAAACAGACAGAATTAGTGCTGATTCTTTATTACTGCCTAGTATTAGTTCATTTAAAATTTCCTCCGTCAACACAAAACTCTTTGAATCAAGACCCAGGCATTTTGCTTTTAGTTGTTACATCACGTGAGTTCCTTATATTCTGTGGTTCACCCCACCCCACTTTTGATCCCGTGACATCAGTTTCTTAGAGGGACTGGTCGCTTTTCCTGTAGGTGATTTCATGTCCTGCATTTGTCTGACGGTGCTTCCTGGTCTTGTTCCTCCATCCCTCACATTTTATGCTCATGGATATTTAGATCTGAGCCTTGATTCGATTCTGGTTCAGTTTTTAGGCAAAAGTCCTACTGTGTGACTGCGGGCGGGCACATCTCGATTGGCCACCTGAGCGCTGCTGGGATCGGCCAGGGCGTTGGGGCGCGGTCACGAGGTTCACGTATGTCTCGCAGGAGCCAGTCGTCTTTGGCGTCTGATGATCCGCCTGCTTTTCTTCTAGAGGTGTCCATGAGCACTATTTCCGAGGTTCTCGGGAGGAGAGTTCAGTTGAAAGGTCTGATTGGGAAGCGAGCCATGAAGTGCCCATACTGTGATTTCTATTTCATGAAGAATGGCTCCGACCTTCAGCGTCATATTTGGGCTCATGAAGGTGAGTATTGTTCTTTCAAGGTAGAGCCCCCTTTTAGTTTTGTGCCTCCATGCTTCATGTGGGCATACTTTAGGAGGAAGCCGTCTCGTGTGCCTGGCAGTTAGATGTCCTTCAGCTTCCTGAGAAATGTATCCATGAGCCAGCTAAGCTCGGTGATTTCCGTCCCTCCCTGTTCAGTTGCCATTGCAGTGACAGAGGTGTGCGGTTCAGAGCTTTCATTGGAATTGTAGTGAGCTAGATCCCCATGACGTCTGCGCTGGTGTGGTAGGCGCTCAGCAGGTGTTGGGGTTACAAGTGAACGAAGGCGAAGAGGACGGCAGAGAGGCCTGAGGTCCGGCATCGTGGTGGAAGAATTCAGAAGGCGGGAGAGTTGCGTGGAGATGGAGCAGAGGGAGGAAGATAAGCTGTGCTTTAGGGATGCTTGCCTGTGAAGGGAAGTGCGGGGAACACGCTCTGGGACTGCAGGTAGTTGGAGGTCAGGAGGTTGTTGGAGACAGCGGGCCACCAACTTTGCTTCCCGCTGTAAGGACGCAGCGCTCCTGGGGATGAGGCTCAGAGCCAACACCCGGGGGAGCCCTTCTGGACATTTGCTGAGGTCCCGCCTGTGAGTTAGGGAGCTGGAGTGCTGCAGGCAGAGGGTTCCTGGAGAAAACGAAGGATGGAGTGTTTTCTGCAGGGAGGAGAGAAACACCTGTTCTCAGGCCTTGGGGAAAGCACCATCAGGAAGGGAGAGGTGAACAGTTCAGGAAATGGTGGAGTAGGGATCCAGACAAGGCAGAAGGAGCAGAGCTCAAAGCCAAGGTTGGGAGGCCCTTTTTGTTTACCCAGGCACATGCACCTGCCCTCTGTGCCCTGGGCATACCCCGCAGCCTCGGTGAAGCCTCGATTTCCTTAGCTGCAAAGTCTTGGGTCCCATAGACAAGGGCTGAAGATGCTGGGCGCGCAGGGTGTCAGGTCCTCCCGTGCTCAGTGTTGGGCACATCATCCCTCTCCCTGTGCACGTTGCACTGGGTGTCACGGCCTTATTGCTTTACATCACCCTCTGGACAGTGGCTGCAGGGGCCATGGCTTCTCAGCTTCAGAGCGTGCTCCAGAGTAGGTCCTCAGGAGGTGTTTGTTGAGTGAAGGGGGAGCAGCCAGGACGCCCCACAGTCCAAGTCTTTAGCCCAACAATAGCTCGTGTCCTAAGGCTTTGCTCAGTTTATGAAAATGTACTTTCCCGTCTGATCCTGGGGGCCTGATCCCATTGATTTCTGCACAGGCCCTTGTTTACTTTAATTTTGGTCAGCTTATCTCAGTTCAGTTGAATATAATGAATGTGTGCTGCAGAAACTGCTTGGGGGTCTGTGCCCGCGAGGAGTTCCTGGACTGTGAGGAAAGGCCGGTGCGGATGACTCGCCATGCAGTATAGCAGTACGGCTAGCAGGGAGTTCAGGACTGGGACGCTGAGAGGGCACCAAGGGCACTGGCTTGGGCAAGCCAGAGAAAGCTGCACGGGGGAGGCCCTGGCAGAACCAGGAGGACAGGGCATGGCCGTCGGGAGGAACAGCATGGATGAGAGCATGGCAAGGCCCGTGTGCGGCGAGTCTAGGGGTAGGCACTGCTTTGTTCGACACGGATATGCACATATATCCTTCGGATGCACGCATATATGCACATCCATATAAATAGGTGGGTGTCTGTGTAATTTTATTTATTTATATATATATATTCCCCCTGCCCCCCGTAGGTGTGAAACCCTTCAAATGTTCTTTGTGTGAGTATGCAACTCGCAGCAAGAGTAACCTCAAGGCTCATATGAATCGTCATAGCACTGAGAAAACCCACCTGTGTGACATGTGTGGCAAGAAATTCAAATCGAAAGGGACGTTGAAAAGTCACAAGCTCCTTCACACTGCTGACGGTAAGTAAATGACTCCATAGCATAGTGAGTTTTTTTCCCCTCTTGAAAGTGGGGTGTGAAGCTGACATCCCAAGACCAGCAGAAACAGTAGATGTGTCTGCAGACAAGAAAGACCTGGGTCTTTTAGAATTTTGATTCTGAAAGAGCAGAAAAAACTCCCCTGCTTCCTCATTTGCCCCGTGCTCAGGACTGGAGCCCTGCCTGACCTCCCCCAGTGCTGGGTGGTGTGCATGCGTGCACCTGCGTGTGTGCATGGGTGGGTGGGTGTGGAGGGGACGTGGCTTCAGGGAATAAGGCACCCTCAGGAGGCCTTGATCTGAAAGTTTCAATCCTCTTCAGCCCTCCGTCCTCACCTGAACCTGAGGACCTTAAGGGGCAGCCATGATCACACCTGACCCGATGTTTCCAAGTGGATGCTTATCATCCAAGCTACCTCAGGGGCTCAGTTTAAAATACAAACAATACTTGGGCAAATTTGACCTTAATGAAGTACACTTAAGTGGATTTCTAATTTTATTCATTCTTAAGAACTATTGATCGAGTTCTTACTATGTCCCAGCCATGCCTGGGGTATAGGGTCAGTAAGGAGCAGTTTCTGCCACTAAGGAGTGGTGGGGAGGAAGAGAAGCATGCAGGCCATGCTAAAGGTGGGTGCTATGAAAGAAGAGGGCTCAGCAGCTTGAGGAGAAGGATGTGAATCGCTGAGGGCAGGAGAGGTGATGGGCAATGGTCACAGTGGCCAATAAAGTCTCCCTGAGAGGGGTAGGATGGAGAGAAGGAAAGCAGAATAGTTTTAGGAAGACAGGCAGCTAGGTATCCAAGATCTATAAAGAACTTCTCACTCGACACCCAAAAAACAAATAATCCAGTCAAGAAATGGGCAAAAGACATGAACAGACACTTCTCCAAAGAAGACATACAAATGGCCAATAGACACATGAAAAAATGCTCCACATCACTAGTCATCAGGGAAATACAAATCAAAGCCACAATGAGATACCACCTTACACCAGTCAGAATGGTTAAAAGTAATAAGACAAGGAGGAACAAATGTTGGAGAGGATGCAGAGAAAGGGGAACCCTCTTACACTGTTGGTGGGAATGCAAGCTGGTGCAGCCACTCTGTAAAATAGTATGGAGGTTACTCAGGAGGTTAAAAATAGAGCTACCCTCTGATCCAGGAATTGCACTACTGGGTATTTACTCCAAAGATACAGATGTAGTGAAAAGAAGGGGCACATGCACCCCAATGTTCATACCAGCAATGTGCACAATAGCCAAACTGTGGAAGGAGCCGAGATGCCCTTCAACAGAGGAATGGATGAAGAAGATGTGGTACATATATACAATGGAATATTATTACTTAGCCATCAGAAAGGATGAACACCCACCATTTGCATCGACATGGATGGAACTAGAGGGGATTATGCTAAGTGAAATAAGTCAAGCAGAGAAAGACAATTATCATTTGATTTCACACATATGTAGAATATAAGGAATAGCACAGAGGATTATAGGGCAAGGGAGGAAAAACTGAATGGGAAGAAATCAGAGAGGGAGCCAAACCATGAGAGACTCTTCACTATGGGAAACAGAGGATTGTGGAAATGGAGGTGGGGGGATGGGGTAACTGGGTGATGGGCATTAAGGAGGGCACGTGATGTAATGAGCACTGGGTGTTATACACAACTAGGTAATCATTGAACACTACATCAAAAACTAATGATGTACTATATGTTGGCTAATTGAATTTAAATAAAAAAAAGGAAGACAGGCAGCTAAACCATAAAAGGCCTTAAGCTTTTTTTATTTTCCTTTAAAAACCCCAGCTGGGGGCACCTGGGTGGCTCAGTCGTTAAGCGTCTGCCTTCGGCTCAGGTCATGATCTCAGGGTCCTGGGATCGAGCCCCACATCGGGCTCCTTGCTCGGCGGGAAGCCTGCTTCTCCCTCTCCCACTCCCCCTGCTTGTGTTCCTGTTCTTGCTGTGTCTCTCTGGCAAATAAATAAATAAATAAAAATCTTTAAAAAAAAATTAAAAAAACAAAACAAAACAAAAAAACCCCCCAGCTGTGGCAAGGTCTTGTCAGTATTCTATGTAATGAGACAATAAACGCATATTTATAAATATATTGCTATTTTAGCACAATTATATACAAAAATTGGAGTTCACCATAAAAATCAAGAGTGATTTCAACAGTTATTTTTGATTTTAGAACTTAGATGATGATAGAGCCATTAGGTCATACCTTTATTTTAAGAATGTTTTAGGGAAGGGCGCCTGGGTGGCTCAGTTGGTTGAGCGACTGCCTTCGGCTCAGGTCATGATCCTGGAGTCCCTGGATCGAGTCCCGCATCGGGCTCCCTGCTCGGCGGGGAGCCTGCTTCTGCCTCTGACCCTCCCCCCTCTCATGTGCTCTCTCTCATTCTCTCTCTCTCAAATAAATAAATAAAATCTTTAAAAAAAAAAAAAAGAATGTTTTAGGGAATCCGTCCTGTTGTGTGTGCATCTGGGTGAGCTTGAGGGACTTACGGAGAGGCTGCATGCTTAGCTAGGCTTCGTTAGAACTAAAGATCCAGGGCTTGCCTAAGGCTGAACGAAGGCCAGAACTATAACTATTCAGACCTAAGCAGTGTGCTGTAAATAAGAAAATCCATAAGCAAAATAATTAAAAATGCAGTGACAGTCAAGCAGTCTACCCTGAGTAATTATTCATGAGTTCTGTTCCTCCACAAACAATAAGCCTTACTGATATTTCCTGACTTGGAAGCACGTGATTCACTGAAATCTCGAATAATACAGCGCCATTAATGAAAAGCAGCTGTCGTCAGCTCCAGGAGGTCTGGGGTGTCCACTGGGCTGTGGTGGCAGGCTCTGGGGGGGCACGCTCGGGGCCCGGCAGGGGCGCTGTGGCCTCATGCCTGGCTCAGGGGTCTGGGTCCTGGCCTGAAAGGATTCGAGGAGATGGGGTGTATGTCTGATCAGGGCCCTGGACCGACCGCTGTTGGATGTGGAGGGGAGGGCTGGGGTCTGTAGTGACAACACACAGCCCTTCCCACCTGTCACTTGCTTCCCTGAGCCCTTCAGCAGGGAAGGGAACTTGGGTGGGCAACGATGGTGTGTCCTCAAAGCTGTAAGACAACCTTCCCAAAGAGGAAAGGCCTTGCAGGCATTATGAAATATTTTGTAACAAAACAGGAAATTTTTCTCTTATTTTTTTTCTCTTAATTTTTTTTTTTCCCTGACATTTTTGGGAGTTTGAGGTATTTGTAAAGTCATGTCTTGTTTCCAGACATTCACCAGTCTGGGAAGAAAGGCATCACGTTTTAGGTGCAGTGAGAACAGCACCGGAATGGGGGGCCTGCTACCTTTTGCGCCCCCTTTCTGCCCCACATGGGCCTGAGTTTGGTGGGGCAGGATAAGGACACGAGACCCTGACACCTCCTGGGTCTCTCTCAGCCCCATGCTCTTTGATAAGGGGCAGGGTAGCTTCACCAGGTAGTCCCTTCTTCCCCCGCCTTCCTGGTAAGGACTTCCCGTGGTTTCATGTTTTCTCGAAGGCCAGCTTGATATGTGGTGTGCCCGATCACAGGCCGGGTGTCCCAGCTCCAGGGATGATCTGCTCTGCAGCTGTAACCAAACTCTCGGTCCTCCTTTTTCTTTTCAGTTTCAAAAAGCTTGAAAAAAAAGCTTAGTTCCATCTCCTACCCACTTTTTTGGTAGCAGTCGTATTTTATTTTGATAATTCTTTTTTTTTTTTTTTTTAAAGATTTTATTTATTTATTTGAGACAGAGAGAATGAGAGGGAGGAGGGTCAGAGGGAGAAGCAGACTCCCTGCAGAGCAGGGAGCCCGATGCGGCACTCGATCCCGGGACTCCAGGATCATGACCTGAGCCGAAGGCAGTCGCTTAACCAACTGAGCCACCCAGGCGCCCTTATTTTGATAATTCTTAAAAGCTTTTTGTATGTATCTCAGTGGTTTGTCATATTGTGCAAATATTTCCCTCTAACTTAATATTTGCTTTTTCAGTTTATTTGCCACATATTTTAAATACAGAAGTTAAATAACCTTGCATATTTAAACTTATCAGTCTTATCCTTTGTTATATTTCTTTTTCATGATTTCTCTGTGTTGAAAGGAACCTCCCTTACCTTAGGGGAAACTTCTTTTGTATTTTTTTCAGGTTTTACTTTTATGGTTTATAACATCTATTAAAACTAATATTCTTGAAATTTATTTTGGTATGTGGTATGTGGTAGGGATCTTTTTATTTTTTTAAACAATTTTCAATTGACTCAACATATTTATAGAGAAATCGGTCCTTTTCATTTTATTTTGGAATGCCAGTCTCTCAAGATTCTGGGCATGTTCTGAGATTTTGGTCTGTTCAGTAATATCTGTTCTAGTACATTGTTTTATTAGGTGTTATTTTTATAACTCATTTGATTATGCACACATATGTTATTCCTTTTTTATTTTTTATGGACATCTCTTAGTTTTCTCATTTAGTTATTACTCCTTTAGATAAACTTTGAGACTGTTTTGTCAAGTCAAAAAAAATGTCTTCCCCTCCACCAAAGGAGGACACCATCTCCCACCCCAGGGATGCCCTTGTGAGCTGTGTGACTTCACACGTGCCTCGAGTTCCTCAGAGAAAAGTGCTGGTCCTGGGGTCTTGGTTGCCTTGATGAGGCTGTCAGCCTCTAATCATAGAATTAGCTCTTTATTTGGAAGCAAACGTTGCTTTAAAACCTGCCTGGAATGACTTGGGTTTTAGTGGATCTGTTGTATCGGTAATGATTCAATAGCTTGTCCCACAGAGAAGCTGTGTGGGGTAGGCAGAGCTACGGAGGCCTGAGTTTTGAGTCTTGCTTGCCACTGCCTCGTAGGGTGGCCTTGGTCAGGTCACTTTTCTGAACCTCAGTTTCCTTATCAGTAAAACGGGGATCCGTTTGGCCCTGGGCCTGACGACGGGCTGGAGGATCAGATGACAGAAGGT